GAATTTATTTTGGATTTTGTATTTTTAGTATCTATTTTGAGATTGTTGAAAATGTGTTCTTTTTGACATTTTGAAAAATTGTTTTGAAAACACTCAAAACGCAAAAAATTTGACTTGATTATAACTGAAATCACTTTGTCGTTTTGGATTTTCTTTATAAATTTTTAACTTGTTTTCAAAAGCGAGTTTTCGAAAATAGGAAAGAGAACACGTTTTCACTGTTTTGAAAAATCGAAAACAGAAAACGATTTGAAAATGATAAAGAGAACAAGCTCTTATGTTTTCAAAAATAGTATAATTTCATTACACAACAAACCACCGCTAAGCAATGACAATGATCTTTTTTTTTTTATTTTTTTATTATATTGACTGAAATTCACTATAATCCACCAACTAATGGCATGTGGGAAATAATAGATTATTATGCATAAAACTATGAATATGTTGGTGATATGGGTGGTAGGTAAGACAGTGATATTCTTTTTCAAATTTTAAAGAGTATATTGGTAATTTTCATTGAAAAATGACCGTTAAATTTGTAAAATCCTCGTTCAGAACTCACTTAAAACCTAATAACGAATGACGTAGCCGAAAAAAATAACGTCACAACAAAACCATCGACATGCAAACACTATGATCCAATTTTTAATTAAAATTTGTTATGAGATTTAATTTAATACTCACGATAATCCACCAAACTAATAACATGTGGAAACCAAAAAATTGAAATGCAAAATAATACAGAATCGGTTGGTGAGATGAAATCAAAGTTGACGGCTTTTTTATAATGAAATTGTAATAAAATTCAATGGAACGACCAGAAAGTTACATATGAAAAATCTGTACCATATCCATATATGATTCTTCAATAAAACAAACCAATAATAATTTGCAAAATATTGAGTGGGTCCAATTTACGACACACTTGGGGAGAAAAGGTCAAGTTTGAGTTAGGTTTCAGGTCAGTTGTCTTTTCAGATGTAATTTTTTTCTTTCTTTTTATAATTTAAGATAAGAACCCGTTTGTTTCCCATTATCTGTCAACAAGAATTGATTTTGTGACCTTTTTTTTTACAACATATGAGTCCCATTGTGAGATAGAAAGTAAAAAAAAAAAGGACTGTCACATTTGCAACGGTTGGAAAATTTATTAAAATGAGGGGAAAAAAATTGGAAACAAACAGGGGCTAAAAGCGGGGGTGGAGGCTCTGAGCACAGAACATTTGCGATTTTTAATGTCGACAGATTTCTTCACTTTGATTTTTATTATTATTGATGTTTGGAATGAGAATCTAAATTATATGATATAGAACCATGAGAGGTGATCAAGGCAAAAAAAAAAAAAAAACTCATTTTTAGAAATTTAGATAAATAATTCGATAAATTCAATTAAGTAGTAGAAAAATTCGCGAATAAAGTTTTTACTTTACCTTTTTAGTCAAATTCGATCCAATCCGAATCTTATCATATTGAAATTTATCTTTTTCACTTTGCCATCTAACCATCTCTCTCCCTTCACTTTCTCAATTTGATAGGTAAAGCACTTCAAATCCAATCAAACTATCAAAATCGCATTATGGAGATCTACCTAACGATTGGTACTAAGCATGATTCCAATTTGTCGGGCTTAAATTGTGTTCATTTTGTTTTACCAACCCCAACTTTCATTAAATGTCAATTATTTAATTATGAATCAATTGGTTACTTGATTTTTAGTGTTATTCCTTCGACAATTACGTGTTTTTGAAGAAACGAAGATAAACACATTACACACCTTACTAATTATGGCACGAAGTAAATTGTTACTTTGGATTTGCATGAATATGATTAAATATTTTTTGAAAAATAAAATTAATATGCAATAATTACATTTAATAATTTAAAGATTTCAATACTTTACTCCTAAAATTATTCAAACATCATTTAAATTGATTGATCATTGACATATAAAAAAGTATGAGGAGAATTCAATAAATATTTACAGAGAAAAGTTAAACGAAGAACAAAAATAAAGAGCATTATTAGAGTGCAAAAAAATTTTGACTCTCCAAATTTAAAGATGCTCTCTATAAAAAATAAAATGTTTTTTTTTTAATAAATAAAAAATTTCTTGAAAATGCTCTTAGGAAGTATTCCAATTAGGATTAAGATTAATGACCTATGCACGTTCGAGATTAAAGACTAAATCGACCATGCTGTGTGCTTGAATAGAATAGAGGAGATGAAGATGAAATAGAGGACCATAATGAAAATATGATGAATTGAAATGTAAATGAAGTTCGAAGTTCGAGAATAAATGAAACAAGGAAAAATACGAGGCCCCGTTGGACTGCCTCCGACGTAACTCGGCAGCCCCAGTGGTGGTCAAAAGAAAGTCGTACGTACTCCATCAGCTTGGCGTACAACTTTTTCAAACAATATTAATGACAAAAGAGAAAGATTAAGTGAGTCGGTGAGTGATTTGAAGTCCACAATTTGATGGACATTTTGGGGTTTTTTGGTGGCAGGATTTTCTAGAACACTTTGAAACTTATATATAGGATTGATTTTATCATTATTGAGGTTGAAAAAAAAAACATTTCTTGGAGAGCAAAAAGAAAAGGTCTACAATTTTGAAGAATTTCTTGGAAGGAGAATTTCAAGTTTGGTGAAAGTTGAAATTTCAAGTTTCAAGTGATGTAATCAATTCCATATCATGTGTTCTACTATGATCGTCGATTAATTTCATAGTATGCGTACAATACAGCCTTAAGGCGAACTCTTGATTTTAATTAAATACATGATTTTTGTTGATATTGGGCATTACTTTTACTAGTTTATATCAAATAGTAGAAGTTGGTAGTTTAACTAGAAGATAGAGATATACGTCTAGAAAATTATGATTGTTAAATGAAATTTCTTGGTTGATTAATGCATTTAATTAGATTTAAATTTATAAAGAGATATAGTGAGTTTACTTAATAAGCAAAAATTAATTTGCTTGAGAGAAATTTTCAATGGAATGAGAAAAGTTTGGCCTAATTCAAATGTTGCTATTTTAATTGCTTTCTATGATAAATCAAATGGGATAATTAATGTAAAATCGTGAATATAGCATCTTTCTCGTTTGTCATTTAGTTAATTAATAATAGCTTAATTATCAGAATTGATAGTAGTATCTATTAATTTTTGCTTTTGTTTAAATAAACAGAAAGATTGACTTAGATCCATAATTGGTAAGATGATCCTCATGCTAACTATAGTCCGGACTTTTTAAGAAC